CCTGTTACTGCCGACTGGTCGTACTGGTTATTGCTGGTGTACTGCTGCTGCTGTTGTTGCTGGTACTGCTGACGGGGCGGCGGCTGGGGACGAGGCTGCTGTCTCTGCTGCTGTTGTCGTTGCTGTTGCTGCTGCTGCTGTTGCCATTTGCCCTGAGTGTTACCCCCACCGCCTGAACTGGGCTCTGCACCAGCCTTTCCCAGCTCCTCATTGGCGGAGTAGAACTCCCTTGAGCGTGAGCACTCCACGGAGTGCCAGTAGTCGCAGGCGAGGATGGCCTGGTTGAAGACGGTGCCCACGCCGCAGAGGAAGCTCTCCTTGCGGCCCTGGAAGCAGACGTGGTACGCCTGGCACTGCGTCTCCTCATCGGCGTACATGCCCGGCTCGTAGGGCACCCCCGAGCAGGTGAAGCGGGTCCGCGGCACCTGCCCATAAGCGGGAAAGTCCTTGCCGGGCACGCCCTGCACGCCCCCGTAGCTGGCCGGCTCGGCGTCCGCCTGACCAGTCTGCTGCAGTTGGTTGCCACCGCCGCCGCTGTACTGTTCCTCCTGGTAGTACTGACCACTTTGCTGGTAGCGAGGGGATGAGGGTCGTGGCGGCAGGGCGCGAACAGTGCCCCGTTGGGCGCCACTGTCATAGCTGCCGCTGCTTTCCACTCTCTGCTGAACGTACTGCCCGCCAGAGGTGCTCTTCACGCCTGATCGGCGAACCTGAATTGTAAAAACGGTGAAAAAAAGGATTTGTTTTGAAAATTAGAAAAAACACTGTTGCCATTTTTAAACAATAAAAACTTGTTCAGTTTTCATGCATTTTTTTAATTGATTAGCAACTTGCCCGATAGGTAGTATAGACACCTTGGTCATAGTAGGTCGCCTCTACTATGAGAGCATTAACTAAACAAAACAACAATAAGGCACAAAAGAGCTTCATTGTATTTGCTGATTGACAGAGTGGTAATGTTTTAAAATAATATAACTTAAAAGCCAGTCACTAATGGATGAGAACACAATGGCAAACTACCAAATGCCAAGTTTTTTTTATTATTTACGGTGGGTAAAGTAGGCACTGGACATCTGCTAAAAGCCGCATCTTTCCCCCTTTTTATACGCTCGGCACTGCCATTACAAAATACACCAAGAATTGACTTAACTTGAACAAGGCGAAGAAAAGTGAACGTTACCCGCGCAAAAAAGGTAGGTAGGTAGGTAGATTTCACTTTCCCTGCAACAAAAAAGAGGCACGGCCACCGGCAAATTTAAAAAGGAACCGTCCAGCACATGGCAACACAATTCCCTCACAGGCGAAGAAGCGGCAGAGGCAGCAACATCATCCCAAGCAGTCGATTGATGGTCTGCACTGTGTGTTAGTGTGTAAGTGAGTGAATGAATGAGTAAGTGAGTAAATGAGTAAGTGATTGTGTGTGTGTGTGTGTGTGTGCACGCATCCGGTCTGGCTTTCTGAAGAATTGAGCAATCGGTACGGCAGTTTAGGATGAGCAATTAGTAAAGAATAAGACAATGAAGCAGCGTAATCGTGCAAACTTCAACATCACTTTTTTGAAATTTTTTTTAGTAAACACGTCAAAGCAGGAAACTGATCAAATTGTTGTACAAAAACATGCATGAGAAAGAACGTTATGGAAATTGCTTGGTGATTGACTGACGTGCAAGGAACTTTGAGTTTTTCTTAGTGACAAAACAATAGTTTTTTCCTGGTTGATTGAGCTAACTAAACAGTTTCGCTAAAAATGTTTAAACGAAAGTTTTTTTGTTATTTACAAAATTTTTTTATAGTTATTTAGATTTTTCAGGTTAATTCAGTTTCATTACATTTATTTACTGCCGGTTTAAAGTAAATATTTATACTTTAAAAAAAAACAACATGAATTGCAATTTATGGTGGCATATGTTCAACATTTCAAAATAATTGCCTATCATAAAAGCAAACATGTAAAAACCAAGTTTTGATGAAAGGCATACACACAACTGACCATTGGAAAAACAATGCGTAAAACGAAGAAACAAGATGGTTAAAGCCGATTAAGTGTTTTTGTCATTACTAATACTACTAAAGTAAAATAATGAACAAAGGGGGTTGTTAAAAAGTGTTTTTATTTTTAAACTTACTTGTGCCTTATTAGTTCTATAACCATTGTTTTTTATTAATGCTGTTAATTTTGTTGCTCAATTAAATTAATTGCTGGAAACAACAATTACCAAAATTGTTTAAAATCAGCAAAAAATGCCTGAATTACTAATTTTGCATTAAATGAAAAATTCGAAAATTTTTAAACAGAATAACTTTTAAATAATTTTAACAAATAAATTTGTTGTAAATTACTTTTTTATATTTTAATTTATTCAACAATAAAAAGCCATAAATTAAGTGATAACCAAATTAATCACCAAAAGTGAGTGCAGTACAAAAAATAAAATTTGTTTGCACCATAAATGGCACTAAATTTTTACCGGGTTGATTGCAACGATGAGCATGCTGACACTGATACTTTTGTGCAATCACCAAGCATTGCTTATGCATTTGTCTGTTTTGTAGATTTTAATCAGTATAAAAAAGGCTAAAGAATGGGTGAAAAAAGCAAGTAAAAGAAAAGACTGAGTGAGGCAAAATTACAATACAACTTCAAAGCAGACAAATGTTGACAATGACTACAAATAATGACTGGGATTTTCCCGTAGAAGGTTGGGTATATTGATTAATGCATTGTTTTAAAACAAAACATTCAATTTTTACTACGACAACAGTTAATTATAGTAAAACTACATTTTGAGTTAAAAAGTTTAATTTACTATCTATTACTGTAGTCAANCATTGTTTTTAAACAAAACATTCATTTTTTACTACGACAACAGTTAATTATAGTAAAACTACATTTTGAGTTAAAAAGTTTAATTTACTATTTATTACTGTAGTCAAAATATTAAATTTGTTTTGTCAAAAATCTAAAATTTTATTTAAAACAGTAATTTTACAAACTAATTTAAAAAACTGATGATTTACTAGATTGAAACAAAAAAATAAAAGTTTTCAATAAAAACCAAAAAAATGAAACATTAAAGAA